GCCAGGATTAGAACCCAGTCATGCACAACTCCAAGTTCAACAGCGCTGTGTAGGTGACAGAGCAAATAACCCATGGAATTCCATTTGCTACATGTGGTCTGTCTCGCCTGTAAGCCAGGGCTTCCTGTCCCTGTGTCCAGCTCAGCCCGCTGCACTTGGCTGGCAGATGGAGTCTGGTGTGATCACTGCAAACCCTGCCGCGTTCCGCCTCTCCTCCTCCAGCCTCCTCACTGAATAAAGGGGGTCCTCAGGACGCTCTGGTGTGGCACATTCTCACTCTCAGAAGCACCACTGTAGAGACGGTGCACAGAGTTTGCTAAGTGCTCACTGACTCTTCACAGGAATTTCCCAAGGTCATTAAGAGAAACAATAACAGGGGGATTGCTATTCTAATTGGGATCAGAAATTGGACCGCTTCAGAGCTGGCCAGAGAACTGTTAAGCTCTAAAAACCAATGCTGTCCTTTCTTCTCTCCCTCTTCTCGTTCCCCGCTCTCCTAAGAGGCTTTCAGCTATGCTTCCAGTGCTTCTTAGCAACAAAGACGGGGTTCCCAGAGCCAAGCGTGTCTCAGGAATGCCAGATGCCCCCCTCATTAGTATTCAGGGGCCCTCATCTGCCAGCACAGTTGGCCACGGGAGTGTGCAAAGGCAAAGTGGCATGAGGGAGGCCCAGCCTCGAGCGTGGTGGTGGGGAGATAGGAAGCCTCCACAAAGAGTTTCCAAACAAAAGGCATCAATATTATTTGTGGAGCCATCAGACTGCCTGGGTGCAAGATGGCTCTGGCTCAGACACATGCTCTCCGCCGGGCTCTGTGTGACGGCTCCCGGGGCCTCCCCACACACATTCTGGCCACAAATCGCAGCACATTGGAACGTCTTCCTCCTCCTCTGCATCTCCTGCCCTGTCACGCCTCGGACTCAGTTTATCTAGGTGGACCCCAACTGGCAGTGAGAGTGCCCGGAGGAGGGAGGGCTGAGAAAGGGCAAGTGGCCAGAGGGTGGGACAGCCTCGGACAGGCAGTGCTGCTCGGAACGGATTCCAGACAAACTCACAAGCAGAGTGAGCTCTGACCACAGCTGAGGGAGACTTCTCGGGTGAAGAGCAGTTGGTGTTTTGAAAGATGCCCCTGCTCAAAACACACACTTCGCTCTCCCTCACCGTCTTCACAGGTTCACGAGGGAGGCAACTAACCAGGTTCTCTCTCACTGAAATTCTAAAATACTGATCAGTGGCCTGGTCCCTGGAAGAGTAGGGCCAGCAAGGCTGTTTCCCAACATTCACGTGGAACCACCGCAGACAGGGCTCCCTCCATCCTCCCTATGCTCACACACCTGCAGACACGTGGGTCTCACCACTGCCACCTTTCTCTCTCCAGGCAGCTCTGATGCGTTCTTCTAAAATCAGTCACTCTTTTAATCCTTGTGCTACCATCTCAAAGAACATAAAATTTTATTAATAGTTGTAACAACAACTGCACTAACCCCATGCCTGGCCTTTCTGGACATCAAGGATAATTAAAAAGAAAGAACAAAAGAAAGGAAATCTTGTTTCTCTCTTGACTCAGATCAGGGAGGGAGCTGGGGAGAGAAAACATGGGAGATAGATGTGTAAGCAAGTGCACTAGTTTGCGGGAGCTATTGTAACCGAGTACTACAACCTGGGTGGCTAAAACAATGTAAATGTATTGAAGTTCAAAATCAAGGCATCAGCAGAGCACGGCTCCCTCCTTATCTCTTCCCAGCCTCCTGGGGTGGGCTGGTGACCTCTGGTGCTCCTGGGCTTGTAGGTGCATGGTCTTGTCTCTGCCTTCATCCTCACCATCTTCACATGATGCTCTTTTTTTTGGAGTGTATGTCTGTCTCTGTGTCCAAACTTCCCTT